AGGTCCGCTATTGGTCCGCGACCCCTCTTATGTTTGTGCGCAATTAGACCCCGCCCAGATGTGTATTTATAACGTCTACCCCACTCTAACACATATTATTTTGTTATTAAAATTATTCAGTAAACAATTTTAGACTTCAATAAAATATACAGAGTGGTTCAAAAGTCCCAAACCAGCTCTTGGCTGGTAATAAAGGACATGCAATTGAGTTAAAAGTTTTCATGACAAAAAATTGTTGAAGCCTTCTTTACGAGATGTAGCTTTTCATACTTGGGTTAAGTTTTTGGCCGTTTAAATCATGTATTCTTAAATTTAGTTAGCAGAAACGGCAGATCTCTTGATACCTCTTGAAAGAAATCATCAATTTGGGTGTTATGGTGTACAAAACATTTTTAACAAACTAACAAATTCAACGATAAATTAGATCCGACAATATCGGAAACAAAAGAAGTAATGTGCCTACATGATAGTATGGAAATTGCCAGTTTTGTTTTTTCTCAAAAACCACAGCCTGAAAAAAATCTTTATTTATTTTTATGCCTAACTGAAAATCTTTTACATAAACATTCGATAGTTGGGCCGATACTTTTGAATCAGCCTGTATAAATTATCCTAATTGGCAAATTAACGAATCTTTATGTTTTCTTGATTAACACCCACCGTTTATTCAAAATTGTTTGCTTAAAAAAATTTCATTAATTGATTTTGTTTTTATAGACGGTAATGCTGTTCTTTTTGTTTAAGCCCTTTGTGTTTAAATTTATATTAAATAATAAATAATACCACTAACAAAGTGATATTCAGAATTGTCTAAAAATGAATTAACGGGTGTTTTTTTAATTTGGCGTCAAAGCTATCCATGAAAGTTTGATTGTGAACGAACCATCCTATTCAAAGTTATTAATCGACATTTGACACCTCACCGGGCGCATTTAAAATTGTGGTCCGTTCAAAAACATTCATATCCCCGCCATCTATGATGCCAAATTTAAACAAACACTTAGTTGTTACAGTAAGATTATAATAAATTACAAATAACAATTGATTGTTTTACTTGATATTGTTATTTCCAATGACAACATTTTTTTGCACCAAATAATGAGATTCAGAAATATAATGTTAAATTACGCTCACTTTCATAAATAAATAGCAATTAGCTTTATTTTTTTGTGAAAACACAAAATAAATTTCTGTTTATTGTTTCTGTTTCCACCAACATAGGATCATACAAACGCTAACATGGCACATTTCAATATTGAAATGTTTATTCAAAGTTCGTATTTGTGTTTTCTGATAAACCTACTTTCACTCTCTGAGAATGAATCAGTAAAGCCTCATCACAATTTTCAGGAGATAAATGAACTTTGGGCTCAATGTTAATGAAAATTTAATGTGGAAGAGCTTCACAGTCGTGCATTTTCTACAACAAGCAGCATTCCAATTCAAAATTATTGGTGCTTTCAGCACAGTTTTGGATTACTCTCGATCACGCCATTGGCTGTGATAGCAATTTTGATAATATTTTATCGCCGGAAGTACTAATACCAGAACGTTTTACATTCCGGTGATTAAGTTGACAAATGCTTTGCTTAATTTTTACTATTTTCTGGCAAGCCCGATCTTTTCAGAAAAATGTCAAATAAAAAGCGACATAGAAATAAGTTTCACATTTTAATATTGATCGGCAGGTCCTTCAACTGCTATTAGGTAATCACTACGCTTCAAATAATTACTTTTTAATTCGTAATTCATCTCTTCGTTACTTTTTAATTACCAGAAATTGAAAAAGCTGACGGTAACACAAATTACCAGCGAAACGTGATCGGAAATTCTCCAAGTAGGTAAATAGCATTTTCAAGAGCCATTAAATGATGTAATTATTAAATATTAATCAGGCAATTAAAAAATCTGTTGAATATAAATCAGTTTACGAAACTTGAAACGATTATCCTCCATCCTATCGAATTGATTTTCCTTTTTATGGTTGGGTTAACACAACTGAACAATCATTATGCATGTACCTACTTGAACTTGTGCTTTTTCCCTCAATCTTTTCCGCTTCTCTTTTTTCCCCATGTTTGGCACGTGTTTTGCATTTTTACCTTCTCTCTACTTACTTATTTAAAAACAGACATTTTAGCAATTTTGGTTGATTTTATTTATGAATAATTTATTTGTTTTTTTTTCATGAACTGTGATTTGTGCAAATGAATAGTAAGTTATTCGTAGACACATTTAGGTTAATCGTCAGGGGAATAACCGACGTTCTATATGAAATACCCAATCTGTGTTTCACTGATAGCATTATCATTTCGACAAGTGTAATTATGCAATTTAATTGCATTGTTATAACTGAAAATGGTGCGAAAGAAACTTTACATAATAATCTTGCACTAGATGAGGAAATTTTAGATAAAACGTTATTATGGTTTAGAAGCCTAAACCATATACATATTTATTGTATTATAATTTCTCAAAGTTTAATACTTTGGCAATCCTAGGCATATCAGTTTAAGCTGTTTATGGTTAGTTATTAACACTAATATGGTCATATGGAATAGGCTTGCAGAGAAGATTGCTCTTTATACTTCTAATCGGGCCATTTGCATATTTGCTCTTACCCCTAGTGAAAATTAACAAAAAAGGAGTAAATACGAATATAAAAATATTCGTTCGTACAAATATAAGTGTGATATATGTCTGCATAGGAACATTCATTGTGGTGGTGTAACAATGAATTTTATTTATGAAATATGGTATTTGACATGGCAATCATTTATAAACTTTGCCACATTTCCAATATCGTGTTTAATGGTCTCAAGTCCGAATAGTGATTCATCCACTTGTTGAAAAGTTCGATTAAACTAGCAATTTAGCGACAAATAAATTTACTTTTATCTTCTTTATTATTCAAGAATGACATAAGAATAATATAAAAGCAACTTTTCTACTCTGCGTCTATAAAACAAAGTTGAATATCTTGAAAATGCAACCTAAGCATTAGCGTAAAAGAGCTTTTTTCAAAGACAAAAGAAAGAAAAAGTCATCTGGAGTTTGTAAGCACTTAAGTAAAGTCTGAATTGAATCCAGATGCTGACCGTAGACATTTAAAAGTCTTATTTATTTTTACTAAAACAATAAAATGCGAAAAGGCATAATCTAAGAAGCTTCCGATATAAAAGTCGATGCTTACTCTCGTATGCAAAGGTGATTTCTGCCAATATGAGGGAGATTACCTCACGTCACCGGCAATTCTCTCGTGACGCCACAACTCTACACGAAAACTATTATAATATGACAGAGATGTTGTAAAGCGGTATGATCCATTTTGATAACGCCATTAATCAAAATTCTAGAAAAATTCTAACATTTTATTACGTCAGGTGAATAAAAAGTATAGAACCAAACGTTTTTTGCTTAAACTATCTATTTTTTGGAAAAACTAATTGATGAATATACAGTACTAAAAATGTGATGTTTTATCAAAAATAAAACTTTTTAAAATTTTCTTTTGTTCTTGACTTCTACAATTTTTTTTTAAATGGCAACCCACTAAATACTATTTTTCTCATAAAAGTTATTATCTAAGAATTACAACTATATACTTTATGTTTAATTTTTTTTATTTTTTTTAGATGAATTGCAATTTTAACAAAAAAAATTGTATAACTCAAAAACAAAATTAATTTCGTTCTCAAAATACGATCACATTTTTTATATTACTTTAATTTATATATTATTTATATATTATTTTCTGGAGGCAAATGATTAAATAAAAACCGCTTGGTTTCATACTTTATATTCACCCTGTATAATTTAAAGCAGAGGAAAATCCTCAAATTCAGCTAGTAATTAAAAATTTCAATTTCAAATTGTCTCAATGTCTGTAAAACCTCTCTTACCTTATAAAAAACTCTTTTCAAAGAATCTATTACAATTTTCAAAATATATTCTTTTTTCCTCTAGTAAAAACATATACTTAATTAAAGAACATTAATTTGATAAAATTGTGTTTAAAATGATAGAAAAATATTTACTAACAATTTTTTTAATATGCACTTATATAATTTCTCTTTGATGATGTTGAACATTAATGTGTTAAGTCCTATCCTGTTAACGAAATGAAGAGACACTAAAACAACAAAAAAATCGTGCCTCAAGGGTCTTGTCATTTTACCGGTGTGATTTTCACAGAGCACATTTGTATTAAGTGTGTTAAATAAAAAAACACAGACACAAAAAAAAAACACTGGTGTGAAATATTATTTATTAATGTTTTAAATTCTTTGAAATTAGAAATTCTTCAAATTCGAAGTGGGTTTCATTTTCTTGAGAAGAAGGTAAAAAGTTCACGAATTAAAATGTATTTATTTTGTACTCAATGTTAAAGAGTGCTTTTATCAACTAATTTCAGTAGATAAAGTAGTCTTTTATCGTCTAGTGAAATAAAGTAATTTTTATCCACTTTGACACAAGAAATTCTGGTACCTGAGTACAAAATAAATCGAAATATTTATTATACACGACGATAAAGATTCTTGGCCAGACATCTTACCATCTTCAGTCTAAAAGCTAATATCAACAAATGAATTTACATGTTTGTTGATAAATTTTAACAATTAAAAAATTATAAATTTACATTTTTACAGCATGTGAAAAGGTACATGGTGTTGAGGACGCCATATTAACTTTTGTACTGAAGATGGCAAGATGTCTGCCGAAACTAGTTTCCTATTTTAAGCAAATTTTAACAAATCCATTTTAATTTTTTAATTCGTGAGTTCGACTTTTTACTTCTTTACCTTCCTCACTACTTGTGTAAGCTAAAAATTGTTAGTTTTTATGGCTAAAACCCGTCGTCAATCAATGAGAAAAGGTTGTTGTCGTTGAATCACCCCTTTGGAACATACTCATATATTTCCCGTCCCCTAGCCTGGGACATTTGCCTGTAAAACAGTTGTTTATGTGTTTTGTGAAATTTTATGATTGTTTTCTTCCAGGTTTCCTCCGTACGAAAGCGAGTTTCGATAAAAGCGAGTCTTCAGCGGAAAACTTAGGGATTAAGGACATCGCTGCGGCTCTGCGTTGGATTAAGATTAACATTGCAGCATTCGGAGGAGACCCCAGCCGTGTAACCTTAGTAGGTCACGACACCGGAGCGGCTCTAGTTAATTTACTCTTTGTTTCCCCCAGTTCGAAAGGTACTTAGAAACGCTTCTTATTAATTATTTCACCGGTATTAAAATCCCCATTACACTGATATCGGCAATCTTTTCCAGGTCTTTTCAAACGAGTGGTGCTCCTGAGTGGAACCGCTCTCAGTCCCTGGGCCACGATTCATAATCCTGACAGTTTACGTCTTACCGTTGGCCAACAAACAGGTTGTCTGAGTGGCGACTCACCGGAGGAGAACGACGATATCGCCCCCTGTTTAAGATCGCGGTAAGGGAAACGATAATAAATAAGACGCGGGCGCTGACTGCAGGGGAGGACCCAAACACAACCACTTCTAATTCCAAACATAAATTTAGACGCTGGCGCAGATTAAGTAAAAGGTAGATGACTTGAAACTGATTTTTCTCAAGCAATTTCAACGTATTTACGAAAACACGACGACGTATTAAAATTCTAGCACCACTTATATCGCGGGAAATCGATTTAATGTTACAACTCTTATTTTCTTATTTTAAGAACGTTGCAGATATATTTAAGGCTTCGAACTTTAGACAGAGCACGAGCAAACTGAGACGAATATTAAAAATATGGAAAGACTGAATTAAAATTTTGAAGCTGTTCAATAAAACCAAATTTAATTAAAAGTGTTCTAACTAGATTTTATTAATTATGTCCTCAAGACGAAACGCTTTCATTTGGATGGGATATTTTAAACTTTAAATAAAGAAAAATCGAATTAAAAATTTAGAGTACCTATTCAAGTGCTTAGTATTATTACACAAAATTAGGCTTCTGCAGGTTTTCAACAAAAAAAGTCATCAAATCGCAAAAATTGCTTTTCACACCACGACTGTAAAGCACAAAAAATTTAGCATTGAAATTGTTTACCCTATCTAAACTTGCTGTTTATTTGTGGAAAAGTAAATGTTTTCATTTTATTCAATTACCTAAATAATTAATACTAATATTAGAATAATGTTTCATTCACCATAATGTTCAGTATTCTATCCCAGCGCACCCACCATTTTTGGTTAAAAAAATTAAAAACTACATACATACTGTGCGATTTATTTATTCTTATCCATACTGTTTTAAAAAAAATAAATAAATTTTAATTTCATTACATAAATAATTAAAATGACTATTAAAATAAGGGTTTAGCCCGGCGCATCCACCATTATGCAGGAAAAAATAAAAACTTGCATACATACTTACAGTGTGATTTACATGAAAGCATTTTCTTTGCAACCGAAAATACAGCATCTACAATACAAACTTGTGCCTCAGAAAAAAATTTCTAGTAAGATAAGATACCAGAAACATGAAAATGTTCACATTTATTTTTTGAAATTAGACATTTTTTTATGTCTATTTAATGACACTGACGATTTTGTATATACATTTTTTTATAATTATTCAGTAAAGGTACAACACTTTTGTCAATAAAAGCCACAAATAGCATTAAACAAAGTTACAATTTAGGATACAGCTTCCTTGTTGTTTTTATTTAAACACTGCATAAAAACAGCAAATTACAAAAAATTGTATAAAAACTCATTTCATAACAACTTGACGCACTTATTCTTTAAAATAACTCATGGCTACGCCACTCGTTTTTTAAACTTGAATTCGTCATTCAAAACTCATCTTATGAAACTTGATTTTTAATATGCTATTTTAAAACCTTAATTTTAATAACGCAATATACAGGCTGTTTCGGGTAAACATTATAGCCATAATCGGTTAGGTCCTGCCTAATGAAAATATTTTCAAAATGACAGCACGTTTACACAAAAATGGATATCAACTTCGATATTTTAAATAGAAAGCTATGTTTTTTATTGCGTTTTTGGATTACTCAAGTGGTTTTAAGAGGGTTTTTGAGGATGAAAGCTTTTCCTATACCTAAGTTTAATCATTTTTGAAATATTTAGACTTTCTTGAAATTTTTGGATTTGCACCTTCCTCTTCAAAACTCAATAACTCTACCCTCTACCATTTTTAATTATTTTGAAATCGTATTTGAGCATATGAAAGAAAAAAGTTAGATGTTTTCTTTGGTGTATTTATAATTAAAAAAATAATTAACAAACCTCCAAATTTAAAGGTTTCATTTGGGAAACTTCAAATACCCATATTTTTTTCAAATGAGAAGCTCCAATTTTTTCTCTACTATATGTAGGAGAATTTAGTTCTGCAACGATCTATTTAATGATTTCAAAAGTTTTATTACGTGTTGTTTAACAACAATATTATTGTGGTGTGATAGATCAAAATTTTTGTCGGTGATTTATTTATCTATAGTTTAATAGCAAATATTTTTTATTAATAGGCGCAGACCCTTGTTTATTACATTAAAAAAGCATGTCAATATTTGACGCGTACATGATGTAGGTACCTATATTTACAAAAATTGTGTCGTTAATTAATTCGTGTATATGCTGGCAACAGCCGTTGTACAAACGACAGCGTAGTCTGAAAATACATTCCGTGTAAATGAAAAAGTTTGATTCATTTTCCGCATTATACTTCAACATCTCTTGCTCGCGAAACAAAATACTTTTATTCAGGGAGTGCACGTTCGGTAATATCCCTGCTTTTTCTCATTTATTAAAAAAGACAGTTGAAATAAAGCAGTGTAGTTGCATCTTCGGATGCAAAATCGTTGGATCAATACCGAATAACTACTGTCTGAATTTGAATATCCGTTGTACCAGCGACATATATCAAACACATGCCCTCTGGAAGTACTTACATACATGTAGACGACGTATTTATAGGCCACTCCAAGCGCTCCTCGACGTCCAGTTGGAAACTGTGCGCTTCATGCCAAGAATCGCCCCATCCCTCCCGGTGGATTTACAGACACCTGACCCGTCCTTTGCCATGGAACACGCCAGCGAAAATTTCATCATGTGCGAAGTGATGTTGGGCACGACCACCACCGAAAGTTACAGTGACTTTAGTGCCGCGGACATCCAGTACGGGTTTGAGGAAGACCAGCGGAATCGCGTTTTGAGGACCTATGTGCGAAACGCGTATGTGTACCATTTGAACGAGATTTTTTCCGCAATTAGGAACGAGTATACGGACTGGGATAAGCCGATACAGCATCCCATCAATATTAGGGATTCTACAATGGAAGCGTTAAGTGACGGACATACTGTGTCACCTTTAATCCGGGTCGCGTATTTGCACGCAAGGAGAGGCGCCAAAACCTATTTTTTTCATTTTGGATACCAGACCAAAGACAGCGAGTATCCACAGGTAAGGCGGTTTTGCTTAATTATTCGTTTAATTACTTGCGCCTGTTAAGCTCACAATAAAAAATAAACACGGCTTTTTTAAACTATGAAACCATCTTCACCCACGTAACACTCAATATTTACTTTTCATGAATATTTATACCCAACACTCAATTTTTATGCTTGACGTTATTTATTTTTTAAATTATTATTAATACAAACTGAAAAATACATTAAATTTTCGATTTTCACAACGATAAAACTTAAAAAAACATTTTTAAATTTTTGTAATCAATTATTTGTATCATATGGAGTATAATATCAATTTTTTTCTTTATCAGAACTTATAACACTGTCCAAATAATAATAAATAATGCAAAAGGTAATTAATTTAGAATGTAGATATAACATATTTTTTTAGAAAAGTCAATAAGAAATGTTATATGAGACCAGAATATTGTTTGTTCATTTTCTGACAAAATACATATAATCGTTAAAATCTCCCCAACTGAATTTGCTTTCATTCCTGAATTCCTTGAGGCGTCAATCTTTTATTGAAATGAATATTTCTTGCTAATAGAATTTCTTCAATTAATTCTACGCTTGTGTTTTTTTCAAACCACTGTTTTACTTATTTTTAAAAATATCGGTGTTTAAAATTTTAAAAATCAATACTTTATTATTTATCTTCTTTTAACGATAATCGTGTTTTTTTTTAAATAAATGTAAAATATAAAAAAATCAAATAATAAATTTGCCTATTACTTAAATATACAGGCTGCTCTGTTTTTATTGTTACAAATTTAAACAGGTGATAGAATATTCAATTTTAAGACAAAAGTTTCTTATGAACATGTTATGTAAGCGAGCTACACCCCCTGGAAGAGATGCGTTTTTAATGGGGTTTTCCCATTACTACAGAATAGATAAAAGTACAAAAGTTGGTACAGCTGATAAGATTTAAACACCTAAACGAATTCAAAGATCAGTTGTCGAAAGTTTTAATCACGGATGTCTTAAACGATTAAACAAATTTAATTTTTAATTTTTTATCTTCTTTATGGTCTGTAACACATATTGTAAACTGATTTTACTCAAAAATGGTAAGTTGTATCGAAAAAACGCAAGAGATCTCTTTTTTTGTGAAAAACTATGGGATTTAGAATTTTTTAGCTGAAACTGGCAAAAACCAACAGCCAAAATAGTTAGCATACTTTTTACTCTTATCCCCCCAGTTTAGGACGCCCATGAAAATAATTTCAACATTTTATCTTCGATTTCGTTTGAAGGTATAAAGATTATCAGTTGTACCAAATTTTGTAATTTTATCTACAATGGTTGCTGAAATATTGGAAAAAATCCATTAAAAGATGTACCCTTTCAGGGAATGTAGCTCCCTTATTTAATATTTTTTGTTTATAGAAAACATTTATCTTTAAATTAAATATTCTATCACCTGCTTAAATTTGTAACAATAAAAACGGAACACCCTGTATATTTAATAACAGTTTACAACACCAAATTTCTCTTTTACACGAAAGAGCAGGGTGTACTTTATCTTTTTGTAGTGCTGATTGCTTATTTGAAATTAAAAAAAAATTGAGAAAATCGCAAGTGAAATTCAGACAGTGTTATTTTTGGCTGTGTTTGACTTTGACTTTCTTGTTTAGAAAAATAGGTCGTCCAAAGAGTTTGTAATTTTTTTACTTCTAGGCTGTATTGAATAAGTAGCTAAAAGTCTTTACGTTACCGAGGCAAACAGGATTCAAAGGCGCACTAAGAAGGTACCGTTTTATGCTTTTTTGCGTACAACCCGAAATGGTGCGTCTTACAAAAAAAAATTGTTATACCAAATTAAAGAATAGAACATTTCTACAAGATGGTCATTCCGGGTTTTTTGCATCTCAAATAGTTTTCGAAATATTAGCTGGCAAATATCGCACTCTCTAGAAAAACTAATAGTACTAATGAATTAACGTAACGATTATTGTAAAAGTAGTAAGCATTATGATTGGGCTGTTTCAGATCGGCCATCATAATTATGTAAAAAACCAATCACTTTAGATTTTTGGATTCATTCAAAAATTTAATGCAGTGATGTGATTGGTCGGTTTGAAGTCGGCCATTATAAAACGTGAGAAGCCAATCTCTTTAGACTTTAGATTAATTCATAAAATCAGAGACATAAAATGTAGCAAAATCGGTTAATTCGGATTTGCATTCATTCATAAAGATGAGTAATTCAATTTTTTTATTGAAAATGTTATGTGTGTGCCTTTTATGCGCTCTGCACTCTCTAGTGTCACTCTTGTGAGTACTTTGATCAAAAATTTGCACTTTTAGATTTCGTTGTAGATACAACAAAACCATAACCTCAAAATAGAAATAGAAAAATCAGTGTTTTACCCCTACTGTGTACTTACAAAGATAACATAAATTGGCGACGAGGATACAGAATTGAAAATTTTCTCCAAAGCTGAACATTTTCACGTAAGAAGTAAAACATAACCTCACTTCTTAGATCGAGCTACTAAAAGATTGTTTTCTCCAAGCTGCAGAGGCTTACAGTACAATTTCCAATCTACAATATTTTGTCACAATCACTTTAACCGTAAACTTGGGATTTATTCATGATGTAAAGTGAGACAAGAAAATTGTTTTTTTAAAAGAGTGCTTGCGATATTTGCTAGCGGATATCTCGAAAACTATTTAAGATACAAAAAATCTGAAAGACCGTCTTGCAGGGAATTTTATAAGCTTTAATTTTGTACATAATCATTTTTCTCCTAACACTCGCGTTATAAACGAAGAAATATTAATTGACACTTTCTTCGTGCCCTCTTGCACCCTGCTCAGCTCAAAGGACTGGGAAATGTTTAGTATGTTTGCCTTCTAAGTTTACAATTTGCATTTTGAATTTTTTTAATTAAATAATTATTCTTTATTTTGTAGTGTCGCTTTGTCAATCATTTTTTGAATTTCTAAACAATCTTATTATGATTAAAATTAAATTTCTTAAATTGATTGAAAGTGATTGTTGACGCACGCATTCTGGGAAAATCTTTACTAATCAGTTTTGGCGCCAGCCCTTTCGATAAAATATCACTTGAGGCAGGAACTGTTGTCACAAATCGATTATCCGCAATCCTAAATCCAAGCATAACGCACAATGAATTTGAGAACGGTTTGCAGTTGACAATGCCACTTTAACGCGATTTTTCTCATCCGGCCAAATGGAAAAAATGATATATCGATGTTTCGATGTGTAAAACGTATGGTCATTGTTCCAAAATACCGGATGTGATAGCAAAACAGAAATTAAAACTAACGCGAAAATTTCATTAAAGCACTTGGAGAATTTTTTTATATTAAAACAAGCACATATTGCATTCAAAAATCACAAGATTAAAAAATAACATCACATATTTTCCTAGTCTTTTTATTCTTTTATTAGAAGATAAATATTGACTTCCTAATATGAAAAGTTGAAGCAGAAGGTTGAATGTTAAACATCAAATATGTCAACTCAAACAGAAATTTCCAAAGCAGCACCATGTATTTCGGAGTCATAAAACGAACGAGTGACATCCTGAGTTTTTTGAATTGCGTGTTCTCCTCTCGTTCGCCTTTTTATCGAATACCTTCGTTTTGTTTTGAATCAATACTTTAAATACCTTTCAAGCAAAATCTTTTGACACGTTTTGATGAAAAATCTCTTATTAAAAATGCATTCTCGTCTTACTTTTTCGCTTCCTTGCTGTATAATAAAACTTTGTTGGGGTTTTATATGTGGATTTTTCGTACAAACTAAGCTGATGATGAAATAATCCCGGAAAAATCCGGCATTTCCCAAATTATTGGAAATACTCAATAGAGCCGGCATAATGATTAAACTTCCTATTTTATTTTGCTAATTACAGTTACCTCCAGCCGTACAGCTCCTAATTAAATTTCTAATAGAGACCCGTTGGAGCCAGTGCGTCGTTCTCTCTGGGTACAATATTGTTCAATTCCAAGTTTTGCATTTATCTGTCAAATCTTTATTAATGAAGTTGTCTAATTAATTCTCGTTTCCAGAGGCTGGGGAGCGTCAGGGGTGAAGATGTCACGTATATATTGGGCATGCCTCTAGTCGGAGGAATGCCTTTCTTCGCCCAAAACTTCACCAAACAGGACATGGGAGTGGCCGAGGCCGTTCTCAACTTCTTCAGCAATTTCGCCAAAACAGGCGACCCCAACGCACCCGGGATACACAAAGACGTCCCTGATTACGGCACTCTCAGGGAAAAGACGCGATATCGCGGCCTCGTGTGGGAGCCCTACGAAGTCTCCACGCAATATTATCTCAGCATTAGTAAGTCGATATTTGTCTCCGGGGTCCTTGTTGACGACTCTAAATTATAATTGAGGATTTTCACCTCGACCAGGTGCGACTGAAGCTGCGACACGCCCTACGTCGAGGGTATTTAATTAAAAACTGGACCGAACAGACACACTGCCTCCCTAATTCTCTTCCGCATCGCAGCTCTCTTATCCACTTACAGCTTTTGTGGATATTTATTACCGTGTTCGTTAAAATATACATAAAAACCAATAGAATAATTAAAAGATAACTTGTACGGATTCCAAAATCGAAAGCTCATAAAAACATCGACATTTCGATGAAAAAGTTTTAAATTAATTTTGGCAAAAACAAGTCCAAGTTTCGGGCCGACAAATTTAATAAAATTAAACGAAAGTAAAAAATTTATCAAAGATCAAAATACTACTCTACCAATTAAATTTCTGACGACTAAAAGAATTGTTCGCAAATACAAACATTCAAATGAAATAAAAGTTTAATTGTGGTCCTGGATTGTAAATTGCTCACCAACCACCAGGTGTAACATAAACAATTCCAACTATTTAATTTAGTACAAAATGCCTATCAGAGATGCAACTGGCGTAGATGCTTTTTATCAGTCATGTTGCACTGCATACATGATATAAGAGCTCCACACTAAATGCTAAAGTTCGTAAATCCATCGATTTTCAATTTTACTATAGCGCAAAGCTCTGTATTTACTAACAGTCGGGTGCAGTTGTGCATAATACTCATACACTAATAGGGAGTGATGCAGCAATTAAAATTCTATTTCTGGAAAAAATGTTAAGTTAAGATCCATTGTCATCATTTTAAACTACTTAACTAATTGGAAATGATTCTCAAATAGTGTGCGAAGGGTTCCTATTTATGTAAATTTAAATCAGATAATAAAAGCAAATTGATGATAACACAGGGCGACAAAAAAAAAGTCATGTCGTTACAACTTGACAAATTTTATATCATTTTGTTCGTCTCAGTAAGACAAATCAAATGCACTAAAAAAATTTCAAAAAGTTCACGCACTTTGAACTAAATATTTTTTTCTAATTTAAATGAATTTAAAATACTTTAACTTTAAAAAATCATTACTCAATAACTATTAGGCCTATTTCCTTCAAATAAAGACCATTCTAAAGGGATGGACTTACCCTTTAGAATGATATGCAATTTGAAATTGAATATTGGCAAACTTTTCTTCGAACAGCGTTCGAAGTAGATCGAAGTAATCTAAGAAAAACCCTACCAGTAATTTTTTTTTCTTCGTCACCATCGTGCATCTTTTTATTAGTAAGAATCCAAATTTTCACAACAATATACCGAGTAGTTTTTAAGATATGATTTTTTGAAGTTAAGGTTTGCTGTTAATCTTACTTAAAATTGCTTTTTATAAAAGTATTTATTTTAAGACTCTTCTTTTGCTTAAAAATGGTCAGTTGCACCTTCTTTGTTCTAATTAGAATAAACAAAAACTGTTTGTTTACTTAAAACAAACAAAGAGTGTCTGCGTACTAATTAAAGCAAATAAAGAGTTTCTTTGTTCTAAAAATGACCAGTGACCATTGAGCAAAGAGGATCTAGAAGTTTAAGGCACGAGCCTTAAATATGAGGGCAAATCTTTTTCAAATCAAATCACTTTCCATTCAGATTTCGACTTGTTCACTTTGTTCTAGCTTTCTGAACTTTTTTTTGAAATGTTCTCAGCAAATGCTTTCTCATAACTTTCTACTCATGTTGAATGCAATAAGTCAGTTGCTTCGTGTGCAACTGTTATCACAACAACTACTACCTACAAGCTAACTGAAGCTAATCGTGGAATGTACCAACAAAATAAATCAGGTGACTTATTGTATTAAACATCACTCGAAAATGATGAGAAAGCATTTGCTTAGAACATTTCAAAAAAAGTTCAGAAAGATAGAACAAAGTGAACAAGTCAAAACCTGAATGGAAAGTGATTTGATTTGAAAAAGATTTGTCCTTATATTTAAGACTCGTCCCAAATGTGAAAGAGTTAAACTAGATGTTAAACATTTACTACTATGTCCTGAAGTAAAAGGAATTCGCTCTTCATGTGACGTCGCTGATGACCTAAAAACCATTCTGACATCAAACTGGACAGCTCTAAAGAAACTACTCCAAAGAACCAAATACTACGACGAAATTTAAATATCTTACATGATTGTATTGTATATAGTAATATTATAATGTAATTACATTTTTTACGTTAGACGCTAATAACCCTTGCGGTTGAAGCGATTTCTTTAATAAAAAAAAAATTCATTTAAATTAGAAAAAAATTAATTAGTTCAAAGTGTGTGGACTTTTTGAATTTTTTTTGTGCATTTGATTTGTCTCACTGAGACGAACAAAATGATATAAAATTTGTCAAGTTGTCAAGACTTGACTTTTTTGTCGCCCTGTGTAATTTCACATTTTCATCTTTGAAAAAAATAGACGCTCTAGTTATCCATGACATTTACATCGACGGTAGAGCGTATTGCGTAACTTGATAACATAAACATAACTAAATTTTTGTTTGCAGTTTTGATTGTTTCCACGTGTGTTGTCTATCATTTTTCACATTTCAAGCGATACGTTTTATTGATGACCTATGTGTTATGGATAACTAGAGCAGAAATGTAAAAATCAGACGGTATTATTAGTATATTATTTTTTAGTTTTACAAAATACTATTTTATAATCTGTTTTTTTTTTTTTAAATTACCTGCTACAGTTACATCCAGGAAATGTCTGTCGATTTGGAAAAAGCCTTGACACCAAAAAGCTGTATTGTGTAAAATAAAAAAGTAAACTGAGAAAATTTTATGTTGACATCTTCGTATTTTACTTACTTGTAGATTATTAAAAAAATATTTTAAACAATAATAATTAAATTTTATAATTTCACAATTAACAAATTTAATTTTGCGGGGCCAGTTTGTTTTCGCTATTGGCTAATAGCCAAAACAATGTATGTTTTAAACATTAGTTGGTGAATTTTCTATTACTTTCTTCAACAACCAAAATTTTTAACCTTCTTTAAATTACCTGCTTTGAAAATGGTTCTAAGAGTAGTTAAATATATCAAAAATGACAATATACAGGGTGATTCACGAGGAATAATGAGCCTGACCAAATTTTCGATGCAACCGACATTACAGTTGTCGCAAAATAACTTGCGAAGAGTAATGGTGGTTGCATCGAGAATTTGGTCAGGCTCATTATTCCTCGTGAATCACCTTGTATGTATGTCTTACTAGTAACAAAAACAATCCTCAAAACGATTTTACATTAAAAAATAAAACCAAGGGTCTGACACTTTCTATACCCTAAAGTCTAAAATCTTTGCAATTACGTAAAGATCATGAATCATTTTTACATCTTCTGACCCAATTTCTGTTTTGAAATGTAATTTTAGTTTGCTTTAGTGTTTGAGTTTTTTTTAATCACAAAATAAAATAATTGTGAAAAATTTTGTTTAAGAACATTTTTGAATTTAGTTTCGAAAACATTGGCAATATTTTTAGAAAATTTGTTACGCATTGCTTGTATACAGATAAACTAAGATTCTGAACTTTGGCCCGGCGCATCCACCAAAATTAAAACACCAAAAATTTATATTTTCTAAAGCCTAAAACAACTGTTTGTGTGTTGTCCAGTAATTAAAAAATATAAAGCAATATCTATTATCTCTGTGTATCTTTTTGCAATGGGTTCATACACAGATCTTGCGAAAAAATGCCAATCGACTCGTGTTTTTTTTAAATATGTAGTTTCTGATAAATAGTTCTTATTTCTTGTTTTCTAAAAGTTTTTAAACAGTTTTTAATCACTCAATAGATATATTACCAAAAGTGTAAGATAATTAAGCAAAAAATGTTTTCATTTTATCGAATAACTACAGCAAAAATTCACATACTATTAATCGATTAGACATTTCTTTATTAACATCAATCAAATTATTTTGGTTTAAAATTGAAGTCAATGCAATAACTTATGACGAAATATTTATCCTCTTTTGTAATGTCACTTTATCGGTAATAACCCTAAATCCGATCAATTAAATTCAGCGTGAGCATACCGGTGTGATGTGATTCCTTCGTAATGGTACATTTGCGCCAACATTAAAGAGTTTATAACCTAACTATAGAGATACTGTAATTAAACTTGAGATTTAGCAGCGTCTTCTACAATTCAAATTAATTATTCTTCTGCAAACAGAAACGTCTTCCTTTATTACTGTAGGAGCAAACAGTAAGTGAGTTGGCTTTTGAAACTGCCATTACCTAAAATTTCATAATGCATAGGTACACTCGAAATGCAAACTTTGGCAAAACGAACTTTTAAAACTATGTAAAAATATCCCACATATGTGTTTCCGATTCAGAAAATCCTTACTCACCACAACTGCAGTATTTTACTGACATCAGATAATTCGGACATTTTGCACAAAACTTTTATTGCCAGAACTCACAAAAAGACAGAAATATGAATCCTGAAAAAACGCTTCAAATAAATTAATGCAGATAGTGAAACGTGGTTTATCGAAGTTAACTTTTGTGCAACATATTCCACTGAGATGGGTTTCCACAAATAATTGGATAAATAAAACAAGAGAGTTTTGATTGGTGCGAATGAAATGTCATAGGTGAATTGGTTGACTCGACTGGAGATAGAGATTAAAGGAAAACGAAGAGTGAGATGTGATTGCTGAGTTATTTCTAGCAGTAAGACTCCGTTTTGCATATTAAAATCATTTTAATCAATATCTTGCTTGCACTACCAGTGACTATCAATTTACGTATAATAACGCGCTCGCTCTTATTAAACTGACTCAAATCTAATTCAATCATGCATAATTTGACAGGATATCAGGAGCTTTTTTAATCCTGCTTGAGATGAGATAAAAAGATGAGTCTTGGCACGTAGGTAAAAATAAGACGAAATGAAAAGTTACATAATTTCTTACAACTTTTTCCGAGTTATTA